ATACAATTTTATTTTAAGCGAAAATGTCAAAAATTTCCATATTATATATCATTCTATTCAAAGTGTCATTTTCTATCGAATAAAGTAAAAAAATACCGAGGGTGTCATTTAAAAATCAAAACTTCTAGTAATTTCCGGTGAAACAGGAAGTGGCCGAAAATAATTGAATACGCCAATTAATCCTAATTTATGTCATATACTAACATACCAAATCTCGTTTTTTTATCTGAAAAAATGATAAAGTTATAGGGGTGAGCCACTTTTGAAACGCACCCGATGCAATGCACCATCTTTAAACGCGTTTTTTCTCAATAGTAAGTTAGTGACTTTTGGCAGCAATGGGATGATATGATGATTAGAACGACATTTCATATGTCAACTTTTTACATTTTTGCTTAAAGAAAATAGCATATCAAATGTCAATGTAGAGTGTCATTGCTGTGTTCATAACAAAAATTTGACTTGAAATAGCAAGAATACCGGGTGCGTGTCAAAAGTGTCTCACCCCTATAACTTTTTTATTTTTTCAGATAGAAAAACTAAAGTTGGTATGGTAGTATATGACCTAAATTAGGATTGATTGACGTATTCAATTATTTTTGATCACTTCTTGTTTCACTGGAAATGAATACAACTTTTGATTTTTAAATGGCATCTTCAATATTTTTCTACTTTATTCGATAGACTGTAGCATAATTAATAAAATATGCGGGAAATATTAGATATAATGCATTAATTTAATATAATAGTAAAACAGATTTCTGGATCTTAACATTAGGTTTCTTATAAACTAATATATAGATGGCCCTGGTAGTTTCAATTTATAAATTTCTGCTTTTTTGCAATAATGGAATTCGGGTGATCGCCATTTCATTTATAACGCCAAGTGCTAACAGCCTTGGTTTTGGATTTATTATCAAATATATTAGATTTCTTATTATTTTGACGTATAAACCTGGTGTTAGGTAAGAAATTGGATGGCTAAACTCTTTAACTGGGTTCCCTATTAATTATAGTTTATTTTAGAATTTTGTTAGAACTTTTATAAACCACCCCTACAACCATCAGCGTGGAAAATAAAAAGCTAGTATTTCCTGCAGCAATTTGTTTTATTGACAGTCTTCAGAACCTACGTTACATCTTGGCGCCCAACTAGCGGACTGGTCACAACATCCTGGTTTTACATCCAGAAAACGAACGTGGAAATGGAACAGGACACTCCTGCAGGAAGTGGACCGGCATTCTCGGTTGCAAAGACGGTTCCAAACCAGCAGAATACAGCTCCACCGAGACAATCGGAGGACAGCAGGGAGAGAGCAACTCTCCAATCCCGTACCTACAACCTCCATCTTTACATCAAGGTAGGATACATCCAACTTTTCGTTTTCTGCACCACTTAGCGGTGTACCAGCATGGGGAATTTGTCAGGGAGGCACCACAACCATCTGCCCCACCTTTAGTCAATATGGCAGCTCCTGAACAACGAACTATGTTTTGTAGAGCCGAAGATTTAAGCCACATAATAACAAATGTAGTCCAACAGTTAAATTTAAATAACAGTAATAATAATTTTTCAAAATAGCAATATTGAAACCAAAGTCTGATTTTCCTATATTTGATGATAGAAGTAATTTACATCCGGTTGATTTTTTAAACAAATTGAATCTATTTATAGTGCGAAGGAATTCCAGTAGATCAATTTATTTTGAATGGAATGGGTCATTTATATTTTAAAAATAATGCTAGAACTTGGGCAGATGCATTTCTATCAACATTTGTAAATTTTAATGATTTTAAACATCATTTTTTATCACAATTTTGGAATCACAGTCAACAGCTGGAAGTTCGCATAAAGTTAGACTCTAATGTATATAGAGAAAATAGCGGCTTAAGTTTTACAGATCATTTTAATAAATATGTAGCTATGGCAAAACATTTGGAGCCCCCGTACACCGAAAGACAACTTATTCAGATAATTGCTCGACACTTTCCTCCTAGTGTATCTTGCACCTTGGTAGGAACTACAACTTTTCAAGGTGTATTGGAACGCTTGCGCCAAGCAGAATATTATTTTGGTGCAACTAAAAAATTTTGCAGATTTTCTCCTGATGAAAGTTCATCGACAAATAGTCAGACCCCGTATAATAAAAAAATAGTAAATCATACGAATTATACATATAAAAACGCGACAAAAAATGTATCAAATATTCAAACACCTGATACAATCTTAGACGGAGAAAATCCGGAAAACTAAATATGCTATCGCAATCTGGCTCGCCTGTAGATAGCAAAAGTAGAGCCATTCATTTAGAAAATTATCCGGTGGATGATTTGTTGGACGATGGAAATTGTAATTTCGATCATCTCAGTGTATCAAATCGTTCGCCTATTTTAGAATTAAGTTTATATGGATTTTCCTTTCCTGCTCTCGTTGATACAGGTAGTGAAATCTCAGCTATTTCGGAAGATGTATGGAATCGTTTTCCCGAGAATTTAAAAGCAGATATACCATGTTTTCCATGCACAGGTGTAAGAATAACAGGAGCATTTAAAAGTAAACAGAAAAAAATTCAATTACAATCTCTTATAATATTTTCTTGTAATGGCAATCTGTTTAAACAAGAATTTTTTCTGGTTAACGATCTCATATATCCTATTATTTTAGGTATAGATTTCTTAAGAATATATCAAGTTACAATTGATTTAAAGAATAATTTTTTAGCTTGTATGTTGAATGGTAACATTGTTAAACTGCCTGAGAAAAAATATTTTCATGAATACGAGGGGTATGAAAAAATTAACTTAAGGTGTATACCCAAATATGAAGTATTAGCTTGTGCTACTCTTTCGGTGGAAAAAGATACTGATTCAAATAACACTATCAAGCATTTTATTTTAAGTCAAACTGAGCAAGAAATTTTTCAAAATTTATTAGACAAAAATAAGTTTGTTTTTTCTAATGTGCCAGGTTGTGTAAAAAATTACGTACATGAAATTCGAATGATTGATAAAAATCCCTTTTTTATTAAACCATACCCTATACCAGTTGCATATAGAGTGTCGGTAAATGAAACGGTTAAAGAAATGGAGCGTCTCGGTATTATCGAACGGGCCGCTACTTCGTATATCTCCCCCGTAGCTGCAGTAATAAAAAGAGATGGTACGATACGACTGTGTCTAGATGCGCGACGCTTGAATAGTCAAATGGAGAGGGATCATGAGGCGCCGCGACCGATAGAGCAAATTTTGAATACACTTAATTTTGATGGAACTACGAATCGTAAATATTTTTCGCGTTTAGATGCGACGAACGGCTACTGGCAAATACCACTCGCACCGGAGTCAAGGAAATATACCGGTTTTATGATTGACTCTAAAACCTACGTTTTTCGCGTTCTTCCCTTCGGTCTCTCTACTGCGTCATCTTCGTTTGTGCGTATGATTAGTCGAGTATTTGGACCGGAGTTCGATTCATTTTTAATTGCCTATATTGATGACATTTTGATAATATCTAATTCATTTAATGAACATATTAGCCATTTAAAACTTGTTTTTGACCGGTTAAATGAAGTAGGATTAACGCTGAAGCTTAAAAAATGTGCATTTTTTTGTACGGAATTACCCTTTCTGGGATATATTTTAAATAGCGAAGGAATTAAACCGGATCCAACGCGAATAGAGGCAATAACCAGCTATCCGCGTCCTAAAAATATTAAGCAGTTACAGAGATTTTTAGGGATGTGCAATTTTGATAGATCGTTTTGCCAATCTTTTTCGGGTTTTTGTGAACCTTTGTCGAGACTTTTAAGAAAAAAGATAAAATGGGAGTGGAAAGACGAACAAGAACAAGCGTTTAACAAAATAAAGCATGAATTATCTCAAGCTACAATTCTGTATCACCCAAACTTATCATCCGACTGGCATGTTAGTGTTGATGCTAGCGAATACGGACTGGGCGCGCATCTTTTTCAAATTGTTGAAAATCAACAACGCACGGTTGCGTGGGCTAGTCGTTTATTATTGCCGAGAGAGACTCGTTATCATAGTAATGAAAAAGAAGTACTAGCCTGTATTTTTGCTCTTACTCGATGGCGCATTTATCTTTTAGGTCGTCACTTTACGATACATACCGACAATAGAGTTCTGACTTATATAAAATCTTGTCGTCTTCTATCGCCACGAATTTCTAGATGGGCACTTGCGCTGCAAGAATATGATTTTTCCGTCGAGTTTCTTCCAGGAAAGAATAATATAATTGCCGACGCGTTGTCTCGCGATGCCTTTACTATCCCGGAGTCATCTGACTCGAGATGTTTTAAAATATTATCTACTATCAAGTTACCTCTTGATTTTCAGCGCAAACTAAAGTCTTTTTCTAAGCTGCAACGCGAGGATAAAAAATTAGCGGATATTATTTCACAGTTAGAAGTAGATTCGGAATTGCAGAAACGTTTTCTGATCCATGAAGATACGTTATATAAGCGTCAAGCAGCGGACGAACCATGCTTAGTATGTGTCCCTAAACATTTACAGCGGGAATTTGTTGAAGCTTTTCATAGCATGTTGGGTCATTATGGAGTGTACAAGACTTGGTCGGCACTGAGACACGAGGTTTGGTGGCCAAACATGCATTCTACTATAAAGCAGGTACTACGTTGTTGCGACTCTTGTCAAAAATCAAAATCGTCCATCATGCCAAAACCACCGCTTAATCCTGTCATTCCTGAAGGAAAGGGAGATCTCGTCGCGTTAGATTTGTATGGGCCATTACCTAAAAGTCGTGGAGGTGTATCGTATATTCTCGTAGTGTTGGATGTATTTACGAAATACGTTGCTCTTTATTCACTTAAAAAGGCTACTTGTCGTGCAGTTCTTAATAAATTGATTCTAGACTATTTTCCCAAGAACGGGCGCCCTGAACGAATCTTATCAGGATCACGGGTCGCAGTTTACCGCTAAACGGTGGCGGGAAACTCTGAAGCCCCAGCATCAAAGTTATTTTTAGTTCTGTTCGTCATCCGCAAGCAAATGCATCCGAGAGAGTTATGAGAGAACTCGGCCGTCTTTGTCGTGTCTACTGTGCGGGACATCATACGCGCTGGGCGTATGAAATACAAAATTTTTCGGAACTAATGAACTCCGTAGTACACGAATCAACAGGGTTTTCTCCCAACGAGCTTCATCGAAATATTACGACTCCAAATTATTTGCCAGCTACTTTGGTACATACTCCTAATGTGGGTAAAGTGTCTGATAAAAATCAAAGACTTTTATTAGCCAAAGAAACTCTTATAAGTCGAGCTGCTAGAAGGAAGATAAATCACCCTCATCGACCATATCCTACATTTAATATCAACGATTTGGTCTTGTTAAGAGCCAATACGATTTCTTCAGCGTTAAGCGCGGAAACTAAAAAGTTTTTATTGCTATTTGAAGGTCCATTTAGGATAAAAAAGAAAGTAAGTTTTGATACGTATGTTCTTATGGATGACAAAAACGTGGAACGAGGTACTTTTCACGTTTCTCATTTGAAGGCATATCATTTTCTACCGCCCTAACTTTCATCGAATAAGCTTTATGCGAGCTTGCAGTGTTGTTAACAACGACTTCCAGTTCGCAGGGAGGCAGATGTAGCATAATTAATAAAATATGCGGGAAATATTAGATATAATGCATTAATTTAATATAATAGTAAAACAGGTTTCTGGATCTTAACATTAGGTTTCTTATAAACCAATATAGATGGCCCTGGTAGTTTCCAATTTATAAATTTCTGCTTTTTTGCAATAATGGAATTCGGGTGATCGCCATTTTACTTATAACGCTACAAGTGCTAACAGCCTTGGTTTTGGATTTATTATCAAATATATTAGATTCTTATTATTTTGTGTATAAACCTGGTGTTAGGTAAGAAATTGATTTACAACCCTTTAACTGGGTTCCTATTAATTATAGTTTATTTTAGAATTTTGTTAGAACTTTTATAAACCACCCCTACAACCATCAGCGTGGAAAATAAAAAAAGCTAGTATTTCCTGCAGCAATTTGTTTTATTGACAGTCTTCAGAACCTTACGTTACAAGACATGAAAAAAATAACACTCTGAATAGAATGACATATTATATGTCAACTTTTGACATTTTTGCATATGGTTTATTTGAAATAATAACATGCGGTTCATAACGAAAATTTAATTCAAAACACACCATATATGTATGCTAATGAGCCACCCTCGTTCCATTTGAAAAAATTGAGATATGATTAAAAAATACAATATGGTCATTTTTAACAGGCCAGAAAAGACACTAAAACATTAGACGATCGACGATCAAACCTATTTTTCCAAGGCCTCGATTAAAATTAGTGGTTTTTTAATATTATCCATAGCTCTCTAGATTGAAATTTAAAACATAATTTTATGAAGAGAAAATGTCAAAATTTCCATATTATATATCATTCTATTCAAAGTGTCATTTTCTATCGAATAAAGTAAAAAATACCGAGGGTGTCATTTAAAAATCAAAACTTCTAGTAATTTCCGGTGAAACAGGAAGTGGCCGAAAATAATTGAATACGCCAATTAATCCTAATTTATGTCATATACTAACATACCAAATCTCGTTTTTTTATCTGAAAAAATGATAAAGTTATAGGGGTGAGCCACTTTTGAAACGCACCCGCCATAAATATTTTGAACACACTGTCCTAGAAGAACCTTTTCTCTGTTATTTATTAAGTATTCAAAGAACGCCCTGTGTATTAGATTAAGAAAGGTATTTACAGGATACCAAAACACTTAATCACTTAATTACTTTTTACCAAAATAAATTGGAAAATAAACGAGAAAATGTGAACAGGTCAAAACACTGGCGCCTGTACCATCAATCACGTTATCTATGTATTCTGTGTCAACAATACATTATATTACGTATTTTCTGGCGTATATATTATCTAAAGTTAAAAATCTAATGCGCATTTAAAAAACTACATCATCGTCTTGGCGTAATTTCAAAAATTTTATATTTATTATTGTTGCGCTATGATGAGCGATGGTTTTAAATTGTCGCTTAAATGAAAAAAAAAATACGTATGATTCAGATTTTAAGTTTGTTTCCACTCGGACTTTTATATGCATTTTCCAAGTAAAAAGTTTCCATGTTTGAAAATAACCTGGCAAATTTTCATTGCTATTATTTTTTTGTATAGTTTATATTTGATTTTCTGTGAACACGGCTAATGATGGAAATAAAACACAGTAGGCGTAGAATAACATATCAGTTTTCAGAAGCTTTTTTCGTTTTCCTGTTATTACCGATTCTGAACCGTCCTAGAACACTGCAGCGCATTCGCAAATGAAATAATGTCTTCATATTTACTTCTGCGCATACGCGTCACAGTTCTAGGACGGTTCAGAATCGGTAATAACAGGAAAACGAAAAAAGCTAGAGACTCATTATTTAAGCTGTATTCATTCGAATTTCGGAAACTAAAAGAGATACCCGTAGTTAGTTCAATAGAGGCAAAGATGCGTAATTTGATGCTAAGTAAAATATCACTTTAAAAAATTAAACTATACACCGGGTGCGTCTCAAAAGTGGCTCACCTTAATAACTTTTTTATTTTTTCAGATAAAAAACGAGATTTGGTATGTTAGAAAATGACATACATTAGGATTGATTGACGTATTCAATTATTGTTTTCGATCACTTCCTGTTTCACCGGAAATGACTACAACTTTTGATTTTTACAGTCATTTTCTATCGAATAAAGTAAAAAAATTGGGGTGCCATTTAAAAATCCAAAGTTGTAGTCATTTTCGGTAAAATAAGAAGTGACATCAGAAAACAATTGAATACGTCAATCAGTCCTAATTTATGTCATATACTAACTAACATACCAAATCTCGTTTTTTTATCTGAAAAAATAAAAAAGTTATAGGGGTGAGCCGCTTTTGAGACGCACCCGGTATCTGCGATTTTATTTGTATTGTTTATGACTTTATTTCAATAGATATAATAAAATAAATTTCACATTGCTTCTCATTGCTATCCCTTTTCTTCTACAATATGGTGCTATCCGATTCTCAAACCGACGTTTCATATTGGAGCCACCATCATCAACTTTATTTTATATAGGATACGATTTGAGAGCATCTAAGGCACCAAGTTCAATGATCTAGGTAACATTTTCTATAAGAAAACTCATGTGTTAGAGAAACACAGAGAAGTTTTAGTATATAGATGTTACTAGAATGTTTAGGATCTTAAAATCTTAAAAGCTCTTAAAATTCTTAATAAAAATACAGGGCCGTATTTAAAAAAAAAGAGTTGTTGATTGCAGCTCAAAGACGAAACATTGGTTAGAAAATCTGATAACAGCATCTTGTAGAACAAAAAAGTAGCAATGAGAATGAGAAATTTATTTTCTTATATCTATTCAAATAGAGGACGGCTCATTAGTATATTTCTAACAAGCATTACGAATAATTTGATACCACACACTTGGTATATTTCGAGTAAAATTGTCGTTATGAACTACATGTTACAATTCACTCTGAATAGAATTAATTATACAGGGTTGTTCACCACATACGACACGCAGTATTGTAGCTAAACGATGAGATTTTTACAAATTGTAAGTTTTGGGTTCGATGAAGGACTATTAGAGGTACAATTTAAAAATAATTTTACAAGATACAGAGTGTCCCAAATAAGTAAAAAATATCAAAGTTGTATTTTTTTTTGGAACACCCTGTATATTATTACATTTTTAGTTTCTACGATTAAAATAAAGTTAAATTTGATTACGATTTATTATACTTAAACCTTACCGTTTTTTGAAATATTTTAAATTTTGTGAAATTGCAGAAAAATTTTAAGGCTTCATTTCTCCAAAGGGTATCAAAGTTTTTAATACTAAATATTTACTGTAGTTTATTTACTGATCAGTTATTGTGTTGCAATAATAAAAATATATTACCTTATACAGAGTGTCTAAAAATTTATTTTAAATAATTATTAGCTTCAAACGGCAATAACTTGTTTAATTTAAATGGAACACCCTGTATATTTTACGAGAATCAGATGCACAATTTAATTGTCTATCAAATTACATTATACCATTTTTTACCTATCTCTTTAAGTTTCCGTAGAAAATGCATTTTCTTGTAATTTAGAACTTATTTATCAATATACCCATGGACTATTGACATTTTAGATTATTTTTAAAGATGTCCCAAATTTTTAAAGAGTACAGATACTAATATTGTCGATATAATTCGTTTATTTCATTAAAAAATAAAAAAAAACTGTTTAAATATTTGTTAAAGAGGATCAATTAATATGATTCCAGTATTCAAACTACATTAACTGACTGCGTTGATTAATAATAATTGCTCCAAATACTAAAAAACTGAATTTTGTATGGGCATTAGACAGTGTGATAAAAAGTAACACCTTAAAAATGATATTTCATTTTAATAAATGCTTATTTATAACAACAGAGACTTTAATTTGATAACTTATTATTATATTGATTTCTGACTCAAATCCACATTTATTTATAATAATTTATTAACGAACACAATTAAGTATGTAATTAATTAGTATATGGGCGGAAATAATGGTGTTATATTTAATTAATGGTATACTCTTTTATAAAGATTTAAATAGTTTTCTTTTTGCATACAAATGCAAATTTGTTGCTTTAAAAACAATCTAAAATGTCAATATTCCATGGATATATTGATAAATGAGGTCTAAATTATAAGAAAATGCATTTTCTACGAAAACTTGAAGGGATAGGTAAAAAATGGTATAATACAATTTGATAGACAATTTAATTGTGCATCTGATTCTCCTAAAATATACAGGGCATTCTATTTAAATTAAAGAAGTTGTTGCCGTTTGAAGCTAATAATTATTTAAAATAAATTTGTAGACACTCTGTATAAGGTAGTATTACTTTTATTAATGCAACATAATAACTAATCAATAAATAAACTTCATTTAATATTTAGTATTAAAAACATTGATACCCTTGGAGAAATGAAGCTTTAAAATTTTTACTGCAATTTCACAAAATTGAAAATATTTCAAAAACGGTAAGGTTTAAGTATAATAAACCTTAATCAAATTTACCTTTATTTTAATCGTAGAAACTAAAAATGTAATAATATACAGGGTGTTCCATTTAAAAAAATAAAACTTTGATATTTTTTATTTATTTGGGACACTCTGTATCTTGTAAAAATATTTTTAAATTGTAGCTCTAATAGTCCTTCAACGAACCCCAAACTTACAATTTGTAAAAATCTCATCGTTTAGCTACAATACTCCGTGTCGTATGTGGTGAACAACCCTGTATATCATACGTCTAAAGTTGACATATGATATAATATAATTCTATTCAGAGTGTCATTTTCTATCAAAGAAGTGACCCAAAATAATTGAATACGTCAGTCAATCCTGATTTATGTCATATACTAACATACTAAATCTAGTTTTTTTAGGGTGAACTACTTCACTTAGAAACACCCGGTATATTATAGGGTGACCAAGGCTTCAGAAAAAGCTCTATATTAGATATTTTGGTTTGTGATTTTTATTTAATTTTTTTTTACATAGTATAGGGGCAATGGTAACGCACATTTTGAAAATATTTTTATCAACATACAGGGTGATTTAGACATATTTGCAAACTAAAGTTTTATATTTTTAAATGGAATACTATATATTTTCTTAGCTTAGTGCATTTTCCATTAAATTTACATTCCAAAACTACCATAATGTTATATATTATACCGAGTGGTTTTTAAAATATAACCTTTTCATACTAAATTTACTGCTTAATTAAAGCCATCTCAAAATTCTAAATTCGAAGAATTTAGAAAAAAAAAATAATGGCAAGTATTATATTTCCCTCTTATTCTGAATAAAAATTGAAATAAAAATGACAAATCAAAAATTCAATATAGAGCTTTTACGAAAGCCTGAATCCCCCTGTAGCATCCGTGTCAATCGGAATCGGACTTAAGATATCACTAGTTAAGCACAATACATCAACACGTTTCATTT